AGCGGTTCTATGGGCTGCCATAGACTTGTGGCGGAAGAAGAAGAAGAAGAAGAAGAAGTAGAGGAAGAATAATAATAACGCCGAGGAATACAATAGGTGACTACGCACCTTCGGTGCTTGTCTCCTAATAATAACGCCAAGGAATACTTTTATAATTTTATTGAATATAAAAAGAAGCAAGCAAATGTAAGGAGAATCATCAAATATACAAAAAAAGAGTTTTGGAGGAAATTTTGTAACAGTGGGAAGGGAAACAGAAATAGGTCAAGTATGGGGAATGATAAAAAGAATGAATGGGATAAAAAGAGAGTTTGGGTATCCAATTTTAAGGGATGGAGATACAACAGCTGTAAAAGATGAAGAGAAAGCAGAAATGTTAGTGAAAAATTTTGTTAAAATAAATAAATCAGACAATATTAGTGAGGAGGGAAAAAGAGGAAGGGAAAGGACGTTGGAGCAGTATAAAGAGATCATACAGAATGAGGAATACAATAATGATCAACTAAATATGACATTTATGAAGTCAGAGTTAAATCGATCTCTTAGGAAAACCAGGAAATCAGCTCCAGGTATGGATCAGGTTTGCTATTTAATGATAAGTCATCTCAGTGAATTATCCAAGGATGTTTTATTAAAAATGTACAATAAAATATGGGAGGAAGGAAAATTACCACAAAGTTGGAAGGAGGCGGTGATAGTTCCAATACGTAAACCTGGGAAGGACTGTATAAATCCAGGAAATTATAGACCTATTACTTTCACATCTAATATTGGTAAGATAATGGGAAAAATGGTGAATGAAAGGTTAGTGTATCATGTGGAAAATAATAAATTTTTATCCAAATATCAGAGTGGTTTTAGGAGAGGGAGAAATACAATGGATCCGGCTGTGTGTTTAGAACACGAAATAAGAAAAGCACAAATAAATAGAGAGAGTGTAGTGGCTGTCTTCTTTGACATAGAGAAAGCATACGACATGATGTGGAAAGAGGGGATGTTAATCAAATTATGTAAGTTAGGTATCAAAGGTCAAATGTATAGATGGATCGAGGATTTTTTATCAGGAAGAGCAATTAAAGTGAGAATAGGAAATAGTTATTCAGAAAAGTTTGTGATTGAAAATGGAACTCCACAAGGAAGTATAGTGAGCCCTTTATTGTTTTCCATAATGATAAATGATGTATTTGAAGATCTGGATAATGGGTTGGGGTTTTCGCTCTTTGCTGATGATGGGGCAATTTGGAAAAGGGGAAGGAATATTGACTTTATTGTTAAAAAATTACAGGAGGCTATTGCAGTAGTTGAAGAATGGTCATATAAATGGGGTTTTAAATTCTCAGTTGACAAAACAAAGATAATGTTTTTTACAAGGAAAAAAATTGGAAGTGAGGTAAAACTAAAATTATATAATCAAGAACTGGAAAGAGTGAATACAGTGGTATTTGTATGGGTGCCGGCGCATATTGGTATCCAAGGAAATGAAACTGCAGATAAAGAAGCAGTTAAAAACAACAGCATTAACTTAATTGTTAATCTAAGTAAGAATGAAATCAAGAGTATTATTAAGAAAAGACTGAAAGAAAGTTGGCAAAAACAATGGGGTAAGGAGAAGAAAGGTCGGTGGTTTTACAGAATTCAAAGGAAAGTGGGAGAGATGAGAAGTGCAGGGAAAAACAGGAGAGATGAGATAGTAATATCAAGGATGAGATTTGGACACACAAGATTAAAGAGTACACTTTTTAAAATGGATAAACATGATACGGGAAGGTGTGAATTTTGTGGACAAGAAGAAACAGTGGAACATGTTATATTGTACTGTCAGAAATATGAGACTAAAAGAAGGATGCTAATGCAAAATTTAGAAAAAATAAAAATGCAATTTATACCGAGATATATGTTACAAAATAATTCATGGAATGAATGCTATAGTTTTATTTTTCAGTTCCTTAAAATAACTAATTTGTGGGAGAGAATTTAAAATATATATACATATATATATATATATATAAATAAAAGGGGGGAAAAAAATTTGGGAAGGAAGTCCATTTTTGATCCACACTCCATTCCAGTTGGTGGCGGAAATACACCATTTTGTTGTTTGTCAGCCGCCAATAAAATTTCAAGAAGAAGAAGAAGTAGAAACACTGATCAGCAATGCTATTATTGGTTGCCCACAATGGCCAAAGAGCGCGCCCACTTTTTCTCGGCGGCAGAACAAGAACAAGAACAAGACCTCTTGATGGAGGGCTATGGCGAGTTCCAAAATGTAATAAAAACGCCAGGGAACACCTCAAAGGCTGCAAAAGCCAGGAGAGAGGGCTGGCAAAAAATAGCAGACAAATTAAATGCATAAGTAGTGACTGTGTTAGATGTTTCTAATCAGTTATTACAGTATATGTACATTTTCAAATTTTCATAATTACTTTAATATTTTATATTAGAGCCACCACAGGACCCACTAGAACTTGGGAACAAGTAAAGGTGAAATACAAGAATATTCTACAAAATGGTAATGTTAACTACATATGTTGTTCTTAGTCTTTTTTTTTTTTTTTTAAAGACTGTGAAATTATGTGCTTGTTTATACCAGCAACTAGGAAAAAGGCAGAGCAAAAACAAACAGGTGGTGGTCCTGCACCCCCATGTCACACCCCGGCAGAAGAGCTGGCCCTTGAATTAAATGCAAACCGACCCAATGTTCAGGGCATCCCTGGGGCAGCTCTTCCTTAGACCCACAGCCAGGAAGCAGTAGCAGCAGCACCTTCATTACTGGTAAAGAGGCTTTTAATTCTTTTTGTATAGGCTACTGTAAAATAATTGGTAGCTACCTTGCATTTGGTGTAATCCAAATGTCAGCTACACTCATTTCAACTGGTAGATCTTGAGTAGTGCTGAATTGCATTTGACATGGAAGGCAGTTAAACCTACTTTGAGTAAATGAAGAAATGTTGCTTTTCCTGTGTACCTCATTGTAATGAAACTGTTTTTTCTATTTTTGTGCAGTTTTACATAACACACCCACACTTCTACATGTTCCCATGCAAGTGGTGGCTGAAGCATGTGCAGTAAGTGGACTTATTTATATTTATTCCAATAGTGAAATATCAATAGCGAAGACAGTGTATCACTTTGTCATGTCATTTATTTTCATTGCACAGGACAGTGAAGAGACCCTCTCGGATGAGTGTCCTTTGGAGGAAGTACCTGTAAGTGCATAACTACACATAAAAACACACTATAAATTTGTATCAACTAAAGTACTTTCTATTTTTGACAGCAATATGAGTTGCAGGAGTCTGCACAGAGGCCTGCAGAGAGGGAGTCTGCACAGAGAATTGATACAGAGGTGGACAGTGTTGCATATCAGTTTGTCTTTCTAATTTTATTTATTTTTGTTTGTTTGTGGCATGTGTTGAGTTAAATGTATTTTCTCTGTAAATGGCACAGGGTGACATCCGTTCCCTCTATAAACGTAGCCTGCAGCATAAGGTTGAATATTTGGAAGTAAAAAAACAAAAACTGAGGGGACAAATAGAGCTCCAACAGCTAATGAGGAAGAAAATTGCACTAGAAATAGAGTTGCTGCAAAAGGAACTTCAGAGTAAGTAGTAAAACACAATTTGACACAGAGCATTACTGTTGACCTTGCATAACAATATCTGTCTTTGCAGGCAAAAGATGACTTTATTATTATTATTTTTTTGTCAGAACAACTAATAAAAGTCATGGAAACCATATTTGCCTTGCGTGTTTTTTAAAAATGTTTTATTCTCTTCTCAAAAATGGTGCTCCACAATCCTGTCCCGTGCAGCTCTGCCACTAGGTTGGTCCAAGTGCACTGGCTGGAGGTCATTATCAGGCTACACCTCCACCACAGGGGTCCTCTCCTTTCTAATGGTGGCAATGTTGTGTAATACAGCACATGCGACAATAATGTTGCATGCCCTGTCAGGTGCAACCCTCAGACTTTTCAGACACTGAAATCTTCCCTTTAGTTGCCCAAAGGTATAGCCCCCGTCTCCGACCAGGATCCCATCGTAATCACCTGTACAATGGTAAAATGCAGTTCTGTTAGGCCCAGAATAAGTTTGTGTGTAATAATACAGTGAGCTTGACATTAATATTTTTCCTTACCACGTTCAAATAATGTGCATAAACATGACTCTCTGAAAATTCTTGAGTCATGCACAGATCCTGGCCATTTGGCTTCCACATTTGTGACATGGCACATAGAGTCACACACCATCTAAGATATTGTAGTCAATCAACTGCTTATGTAATACATTGTGTATATTACCAATCTAAAATATTAAGAATTGTAATAGTAACAGTTTGTAATAAAACTGCACATTTATACGGTGAACCCCCTTTCGGTTCACAAAATCCCCTTCATTGGGGCCTGGTGGGGCCTTGATATGAATGTGTGTGCAGTCTATGGCACCAATCACATTAGGGAAGCCTGGGGGACAATCAATTCATATTTACCAGCCTGGTCATATTCACACGATCTTCATTAACAAGTAGAATGTACCTGCAATGGCGAAAAAGCTCTGTTTTACAACTTGGGGTCTTAAGTGGCTTGGAAAGACAACAAAAACCCCTAAAAACTGCTTCAGAGCCAGATAAACTTTGCGAATGGCACGACAGACAGCACTTTTGGCCAAGTTCTCCGCATCCCCAATAGTGTACAGTAAAGTGCCACTCGCAAAGATTCTCAACGCGATGCACACAGTTTGTACTGTAGTTAAAGCCCGACTCCGACGAGTCGAACTTTTAATATGAGGTTCCAACAAATTATGTAAATGACACCCTCACATGAAAAACGATATCTTTCAAAAAGTACACTATCGCACTGTGCTAATGGATCCTGTCTGTGTCGCAAAACACGATTAATTCTAAAAGCTCTGCGAATTATCCTCGCACCTTCCGCAACAGGTTGCTCTCGTAAAAACGGGCAAGACATGGCTGCAAGGGCAACAGACTTCTTGTATCACCTCCACTTATAAAGCCGCGATCTAATCCTGTTTACATAAAATAAGCCTGCTCCCGAACAGACGGACCTGTTGCTATGACAGCATCTCCGGGATGAGCTTCGAAGAACCAACCAATCCAAGATCATATGAATATGAAAATATGAATTATATTGTTTGTTTGATGCTAATTATATATTAAGTCATATGAGATATGTATTTTGATTTAGAATTTAGACATTATAGAAAGTGCCGATCCATGTGTGAGATGATCATATAAAATGTAATAAATAAATATATATATTATAATAAATTAAACATTACCATGTCATAGTGTTTTATAATTTATAATATATGCCAATAAAATAAATATAATAACCATATTAGAATAATATATTACCTTATTTATTACTTATATTAGCACATCATTAACATAACATACAAAAAACAATATATATATATACTGTAGGGTTTTTATTATTAGCTCTAAAAAGGGAAATATTTATGACGAATTATAACTGGTTATGATTCATAATAAATATTTAGATTATATCTTCGAATTAACTGTAGCAGAATCAATATTACAATTATTTGATCTGTCCGTCCACCGAGCAGACAATATAATAATTTATCAATTCAAGGAATGTTTATTTTTCTGGCCACGGAACAACAAACTGTCCTTCTTTGTACAGTGCTAGCAGTAATTCTTAGCCAAATGTAGCAA